CTTTACAAATATCACATGTGGTTAATATATCCATAACATTCAAACACAGCCCAATCAAAATTTGTATTTTTTTATGAAGTTGCTGGCCATACATATAATTCTTCCCTTATAAGAGTTTACCAACTAGTTATTTATATTTAGTATGAACATATGCTTAGCCGAAATGTATAGTTTATATAATTATAAATCAAGAAGTGTGAAAAAGCAAAGTAAAATGACTGCTTCCGGGAAAGTCCTGATATTTTGGTAAAGATTTGAGCATGAGAAGAGTTTTGTTCATCTTATGAATTTCGGAATTTAAATTTAACTCAATAACAACTATATAATGGCCATACTTACTGTTGAACCTCACTGTAAAACTACATATCAGATACATATTTACTTTTTTTAAATTTGTTTTAATCAAATAATGAGCATTTGAGAGCTTTGTTTATGGTTTAGTTTGCAGAGAGTAATATGCAAGAGAAAGCAATGATACTTCTGGCTAAATGTTATAGCTGAAATTCTCCTAGTTGACTAAAACTGGGGGAAGATTGTTGCAAGAAATGTTATGCAATCTATATTGGTTATGCACATTTGAATAATTAATTGTTTTATAGCAACAAGTCGTGGGTCCTGTGTACAGAGTGATTTTCTTTATGATTATGTTTGGAATGAATCCAAACAGTCAACTACTCTCTCTCTCCCTATAGAATTCACCCTTTCAGCTTCACTGAATTGGGTTAATTAGAAAGGCAGTGGACCTCCTCTCCCCACTGCCACCTCCATAGATTTTTAGAAGGTATTTCATTGGTGTTATAACTATCTATTTAAAGAAGCAGATAACTTTTGCAGAAAAAATAATATATATAATTATGACTTATACCATATATTTGTTCCTATTTTATGTGTGTGTGTATCTGTGTGTGTATGCAAACATGCAAATATGTTCATAGCTCCTTATAGAACTAAACATGTGCTGGGTATGAGTAAAAAGTGTTCAATCTAAAGATTATTACTGGTAAAAATTTGTTGAAAAAGACCTTTTTCTTTCCATCAAGTCTACTTTGAGATTCTATGAAAAAAATCAAAATTATCTAAGATTAGAAAGTGGAAAGAGAGGGTATCACTCTCTAGTGATAGCAGGCCTGGATGGATTGCCTATCAGTTGACATGTACTATAGGAAAACATGGCTATTTGACACAAAGGCTTTTCTTTACAATTCTATTTGGAGCAAGAATACTTTCACTACCTTATAACTTCCTAGAATGATTCTTTTTTGATTCAAATTTTTTGAGTTCATGTAAATTTTTCTAGATAGCTTGTATTAACCAAACATGAAAACACTAGCTTTGTGACATGAGCAGTAGACTTGATTTGTAAAGACTATTGGAACACAAAATAAGTCATTTTGCTTTAGCTTCAAATGTTTTCTCTTTCACAAATGGAGTTAATATCGTCAACAACAATATCTATAATTCACATATTCCAAGTCCTTATTCTATACCAGGGACTTCAATCAGTACCTCACACGAGATATCTCATTTAGTCATCAGAGCAACCTAACAGGCTCTTCTTTGATGCAAATTACCTTATACACATCGGTAAGTAAGAATGAAATTGGTATAATGAGGAAATTTTATTGATTCATAAGTTACTTTACAATGTATTTGTTTTGAAATATTCTACATATGCTTTTCTCATAATTAAAAAGAAAAACAGCTATGTAAGTCTTCAGAAAAAGCTAAAAATGCAGTGCCTTTAGTACAAATGAGTCTACTTTATTAGCTATGATTGATAACATGTTAATCTGGAAAAGCTGTGGGTACAGATGAAGGAGATGCAATTATTTCTCTGAATTAAAACAATAGATTAATAAAGAAGGCTAAATACTAGATCAGATTTTCAGTTTTGATGAAAGGGCATCTATTTAGAAGTAAATGGACCTCAATACCTACTTCTTGAAGAAGCAAGCACAAACCCCAATACTTTTAGTTTTTGTAGTTTCGTTAGTGCTCTGGATACAAGAACACATGTTGTTCTTTTTTGTTTATTTGTTTGTTTGCTTTCGGTAACATACATAGGGTGTTATCGTGGAAACACCAGCTCTATTGTGGTATAGAGTTTGTAGAAGCAGGAAATTAAAAGTGACTGGGGTTAAGTTATTTATCTACTTACACGTAGCTGGTAAATGGGGGATCCAGGATTGGGTTCTAAGTCTGTCAATTTCAGGGCCAGTTCTCTTAACTTCTATGGGTATCAAACTATGTTTAATTCCTTTTTCCTGACTGTGACCATTTATATAGATAAAGGAAATTTTATAGGGCAATCCCATCCTATGCACCACCTATTCTACAAGACAGTTCTCTTCAAGGCGAATACCTGTTGAGGAATCGATCCCTTTATTTTCATGAAAAATATCTCTTCACTTTTAGTAATATTCTTTGTTCTGCTAATCAGTCTGATAATAATAAAATCATCCAGCTTTCTTATTAATGTTGCATAGTATATCTTATCCTTTTATTTTTAATGTATCTGTGTATTTATATTTAAAATAAAGTCAGGGGCGGGAATGGATATTGAATATTACATGGAAGAGGTTAAACAAAAGGCTTTACTGGAGAAAGAGGAAGCTCACAAAACAAGAGAGGAGGCAAAGGGACCATAATCTCCCAGATATTCTGCTGGACAGCTACTTACCAGCATTGTCTCAGAACACCAGCTGCCCAGATATGGAAATCCTTGGTCCTGCGGGAAGATAAAGTCCCCACTGCTGGGATGGAAATAGAGGGCAGAGCTTGTGGCTCAAAGCTAACCTCACTTTGGGTGTCTCCTGTTCCATTGGGAGGAGTGTGGAAGACAGTGTTGTTTAGGCAAGCCAGAGTGAACACCTATGTCCTTCTTTTTCTTCTTTTTTTTTGAAAAATATTGCTCTCTACATTGTCTTTTTTAATTGTGCTCTCCTCTCTCTCCTCTCCAAACTTTTGGTCTAAAGTAACACATGAAAATGTTGAGAGATTTTTGGCAATGTGAATGGAGGATTTTGGCAGTGTTTTAGTTTCTTTGTTTTAGTAGTGGTTAAAATAACTATTACAACTTTCTCTGGTTATAATGCAAGTGAATTATAAAGAAGAGCACATTACTCCTTTTCCTTTGTGCATCTGTGTGCTGTGTATGTGTTCTATAAAAAAACCTATTATTGCTGTTATGCACCATTAAATAAAGGCATAAACATTGTTAGTTAACCTACCGTGATAGATTTATTTTTTTATTGATCAGAAAATAGAATGCCATTTAATTTCTTAATTACATATTGAAATACAGATCAAATTATTGTTCAAAGGTTAGTTGTGTGAAGTATTTATAAACGAATGTATATAACTACATATTGAAATACAGATCAAATTATTGTTCAAAGGTTAGTTGTGTGAAGTATTTATAAACGAATGTATATAACTACATATTGAAATACAGATCAAATTATTGTTCAAAGGTTAGTTGTGTGAAGTATTTATAAACGAATGTATATTAGGCCTTAAACATATTTGTAAGTCAGAAAATGCCATCATTATCTTATCTGCACATTTGGGTGTATTATCTGTATGTTAACCATTTTCCATTTCAGTTAAAAAAAAAAGATAGAAAGATAAGTTTAACTTAATATTTGCATATATTTGTACTAGCATGTGAAAAGTAGAAGATAAAAATCTGCCATTTAGAAAAGTATGTGTAGATAAGAGTATGTGCATTTAAACATTATTTAGATTTATTGTAACAAATAATGGTTCAACATTCCCTAGGTAGACAAAGCTCATTAGTAATAATATGTTAAAGAAATAGTATAGATGATGATGATGATGATGATGATGATGATGATTAATTTACTTGGAAAATCATCCAAGGAGACCCCCCTTTTATTTGTAAATATGCAGTGATATAACATTTAGACCAATTTTGTGCCTTGAAAAAATGCAGCAGATACATTTTGCATGACTATTTTTCAAGGTAGATTCATATTTATGGATTATGTATATATATTCTTGTATGCTATCCTAAGGCAATGAATTCTCTAGATATATGCCATTTATCTTAATGCCTCTAGGAGGGTAGATTTTTATTTGCATAGCCACATCTCTCTTATATGCCATAAGTTTAGTAAAATGGATCAGCTGCATACCATGGCCCTAAGCTATAATGCATTTTGTTTGGCAAAGGGACTATAGCTCTATGGGGGAAAAAAGTGGGATCTGAGTTTCATCAGTTCTATTTTCATGTAAAATTCATGGAATCTTTTACGGAGTAAGAAAGATTAGAGGTGTACTCTCTTTCAACACTTATTCAACAAGTGTCTACAATTTAGCCCACTGAAAATAATAAGAAATCAAACAATGGAATGTTACTTTAGAACAATGTGTTGTTCTAGTCGAGTACTCCAGACATGTCTTAAAGAAGAATGACTTCTATTGTGTGTCTGCACGTTAGTTTTGTCTTTCACATTAAGATTTATGTTTTATGGATTTGCTCTGAGATAAAAGAAAAAAGAAGCAATTCTCACCATGAGAGACTCTGCTACTTCTTTTACCTCTTCCTTTCTCTTATTTTTGGGATATCTCTTTTTCATATCAGAAGTCTTACTGAGTGAACTGAAGTATCAGCCTCTGTTAATACAGGCATTTCCTTTTGGTAAGGATAAATATCAGTGATAACTCTTGTGAGAAATGTTGGACAGGGAGGGGAACAGATTCCTATTCTTAAAGGGAAACAAGAAATAGATGACAAAACCAAGTGTTTGAATCTCTGCCTCCCAGTTTCATCTCTCAACAATATTTATAAATAACATAATAAAGGTATTTTTGCCTTTTTTCAAATAAGACCTGTTTTTCTATCATGTCAGATACAAACTTGAATATTTTCTGCTTTAAAACAGGTTTGCCAGTCAACTAGGGTTTATGCATATTATCTTTGTTAAAGGACGTATACAAGTAGAATATGTTTTCAAATAACTTTCTTTGGTTTGCAGGTACAATTTTGGTGGATAACATGCTGATCAAAGGGACTGCTGGAGGACCAGACCCCACCATAGAACTTTCTTTAAAGGACAACGTGGATTACTGGGTGCTGTTGGATCCTGTTAAGCAAATGCTTTTCCTGAACAGTACAGGCAGAGTTCTGGACAGAGATGTTAGTGATTTTTTTCTTTGTCTCTGTGTTAATAACTTTATTATAATCTAAATATCTTCATGTGTTTGCTGATATGAACCAACTTTTCTTAATATAATTTGAGTTTATTTTATGTGTTTATCAACAAAAACATTTTTTTTTTTTTAACTCCTTGAAAGAAGAAAAAGGAAGAGACCATCTGCCTCTGAGATATTCAGTATTTCTCCCTTTTAACATCCTGGAAACTTGTCAGATTTCTGAAACAAGGAGAGAATAGAGTACTCAAAATAAAGGAGTGGTAACCATAGAAAAATAAGATAAACAAGGTGATAATCCATGGCAAGGTGTGAACACAAAACTAGGTGTTGACTTAAGAACAAAGAGTTTAGTGGGAAGGAATACAAACAGGTAGCTGCTCTTTCAAGCAGTAAGCGTTAGTTTAGGGATGAGTTTGTGGTAATGTGCTTACAGAACTGTAAAAAATGCTAAAAGAAGGTGAATAGAAGTTTCCTGACAATGTCCCAGTCCAGTTGTTCTCAGGCAGCATGAGCTAAGTGTTTTGTTATTCAGAATAGCTCAATTACCAAATTCATTGAATGTCTCATTTCTGAACAAGCTTAAAAACTTGAGTAGATTTATTTTGATGTAACTTTATTCTCATTTATTTGCAATTCAATCTTGAGTGCAGAGATGAGCGTGTGTGTGGTGGAGAGTTGCTTAATAACTAGTAATTGTACCTCCTGTACATGGGAAAACACAAAGAGTACATCTAAATGTGTGTACTCTCAAATTTCTAGTTTATGAAATCCAAATGTCAGATGTTCAGTTTAGTGATTCTGAATCTTCTCACTACCTTGCTCAGGATTTATGATCCACTTTATCATATGGTGTAAAATAGATGATTCCTAATCAATTTCACATTTAAAATTTAGAGTCTTTAAGAGCTTTGTGGTGAGGTGGGCAGTACATCAGACTGTCCCACCAATATGGGCTGTATTTGTACACTGGGGAGGCCCATAATTCAGTTGAGCAGTAGTGGCAGATGTGAAACATGGGTAGCAGCAGAGAATAGAAATGAGACTATTGCACTCAACTTAGAGAAAAAAAAAAGTCATCTTAGATGTTGTCCCCGTCCCCACCACTGCACCCCCACTCACTATGTCCTTTCACCACGCGACAGTCTTTACACCCCACAGTTTACAATTATGCAGTTATGGCTGGGTAGCTAAGAAGGTATAAAATGAAATAAAGACAGCTGCTATCTTTGCATTTATATTATCTTAATTTATCTTATCATAAATCTTACTTTTATGAAAGCAATCTAGATAATAGCCACATTGACAAGCTGCAAGATCCTCTCTGCTCCCCACCCTGCCAGATGCATTACTCATAAGCATCCTTTACTGGCCCTAATTAGGGACATTCATATCTAAGTCATATGAATTTTATAATGTAACACGTTAGAAGAATTATATAATATTTACCTATTTTAGACTGTCATTTTATATTTTGTTTCCTTTTTTAAAAAAAATTACCTTATAGTTGATTATAATAATGTACTGGTTTACTAGTAAATTACTTTCTTTTTGGAACCTTTTTGTTTTCTTCATTTGATTATAAAGCGCAAGTTCTAAGTCTGAATTATGAGTCGAGAGGAAGAATGTGCTTCAGTATAAATGAATGGTGTTCCATCTATTCAGCCTATAAAATTGTTTTAATTTTAATTACTTGTCAAAAATTATCTTAACTCAGCACCTATCTGTTTTATGTGAAGTACAGACCATTGCTAGTAGAAAAGTAGCATGGTAAGTCAATGCTTTTAACCCAAATCTAATCACTACTGGAAATTATGGATTCGTTTAATTGTAAAACAATATAAGCTTGGAGTAAACATATCAGAAAAAGAACTCAAGTCAGTGGGTGAAGAGTGTTAAATATATCAATATCATAGACAAGAAAAATGATTTGATTTTAGCAAAATTGTAAATTTACCCAGGGCTGAGAAAACTACATGGCCTTGGGCCATATAGTCTCTAATCTCTACCTTTGTCTGTGCATGTGCTGTATTTTTCTCTCTGCAGATTAGATTTCTGTGTACACATAATTTTGTTCCCTTACTTTTTTGGTTTGCACTTGGCTTTGGCTCTTATTAATGTTCACTTCACTCCAGCTCCCAGTAAGCTTCAATGCAATGCCTGCTACAGACTGACCATTGTCACTGTGCTTTTTCTAATTAGTGAGAGAGAGCATCTAAATGGTCACTGACTTAATTGAATTATAGCTAGAGAAATGGGGATGAGGTCATATGGTAAATGTGTGTTCAAATATACCTACCCTTTCAGCAGCAGTTAGGAGAAGTGCATTTTCCAGAGAAGACATTCCAAATCATGTTTTCTATACTTTGTTCATTGAGGCCATAAACTATCTCTTAATGGAAACATGTGAACAATTATGGATACATAAAACTAAAAAAAAATGTAATATAAATAAATATTTTTAAGATTAAATATTAAAAAATAAGCTAATAAACTAATGATCATGAAAATTTCTGAGGACAAAAATAAACAGAAAAATTCCCAAGCCCCCAATATTTATATTTTATTAAAAACTTTTGCATGACTTTGTATAAATATAAGCCTCACAAAGAACTTGGACTCCTCTGCCCAGGAGAATATCTATTTAACTACTGTTTCATACTTTTATCTCCACTGGGCATCTTGCATTTGCATCCATCAGCATAACTCCAGTACAAGCCCTCTTAGTTCTCACTTGTACTTCAGGATAATCTTCTAATAGTTCTCTTCATAGTATTTCATGATTCAAACTGTTCTAGATTTAGTGCCCCAAAACAGAGTTCTGACCTTGTCAGTAGATGACTTCCTTGCAAACTGGCTTATCTGGATCTTGAGGTTTCCTAGATTCAAGCTGCTACCTCTCTCACTTCCTTTTATTTAGAAACACATAGATTCTGATATAGGAGAACTAAACTAATCTATCTCTGTTCTCTTAAACAACATCTATTTTTTTTTTTTTTTTTTTAATCATGACTTCTCTAATGCTCTTTTGGGTCTACATTTTAAAATTACCTTTATTCATTGCCATCAGTTGAATGTTATCGACTATCAAGATGTCTCAGATGCTACTTTATACATTAAATATTTCCTGATGGTAACACTGGCATGTAATTTCTTACTTTAAACTCCAGAGCCTCCAAAACTCCTTTTGACTTGCGTTTAGTGATTTATGTTTATCTTGTATCAATTTTACAGGGTTTACTTAGTGCACAAGGACTATGTCATATTAATCCCAACCCAAATTGAACTATGTGTATAATAACATAATTAAATAAACTAAATGTCCTTACTGTGAAAAATCTACAAATTTATCTAAATATTATGTAACCTCATTATATTTTTAAATCCGTACTTTCTTCTGTAGGCAAATTCTATAAATACACCATTCATTGTGTAAGTTTAATTTGTGAAAGACACTCATAATTCTGGCCAGCCATTTCCTATGTTTGTTTCATTATTTAAAAATAATTTCTACAGCATAGTGTGCCTTATTTCCTTTTACTGTCTTCCAGTTTATTTGTGAAGTGATGAAGATTTTTCATTTTGTAAAGGTAGAAATTACATGGAAGGAAAATCATGGCAAAAATCTTTCATTCCTATGAGGATTAAATAAACTTTACCTTTGCTTTATGAAAAAATAAAATCGATTCTTATACAGGTTTGCTAAAAATGTATCCCTCCGAATCATTTAACCCTTCAAATAACATGGTTTCTAGAAAAACTCAATTCCCCTTAGACTGAGGATGTGTACTATAATCAACACCAAAACATCAATAAATTTGCTATAAAAACTTAAATTTTTATGTGGAATTCTAAGTGATTTTTCTGAAAAGCTCAACACAATTTGTTATTTTTGTCTTTTTTTAAATTACAAAATACATACATATTTGCTGGAAAATTGTCTACCCCTACTTTTTGCTCTCAACTATACTTTTCAAAGATAACCTCTTTCAATATACCATTCCTGCACTTTATCAATGCATATCAAAACCTATACACACATATATACTACGATACAGATATGCAAATATACATTCAGATATTATGCTACTCATTTTTAAATTCAGAGAATAGTTTGCATGTCTAGGAATATATGAAATGTGGTTGTTTTAAATAATTACCAAAACAATTTATACAGTTTTTTCTTCTTTGTTTTATGAATGAAGCACTTAAGAGAATTAGAGAAGATAAAATTGCCATGACTTATTTTTGCCAGCAGTTATGAAAGATAAAACAACATTTTTCTAACGGATTTCTAAACATTTTAAAGGCCCTAAACTCTCCCTAACCGACTTAGTAGAACTGTACTTGATATATTTATGACCTTCTTATACAGCAGAATAGAATCTATTCTAACATGAGATTACAATGTATGTTATATATTAGCTACAGGGAATTCTTGCCTTCAATGTGAACCATTATGGTTGGAATTTATTGCAAGCTGAGTTCTATCTGTACTACTAACAGTTGCATAGAGAGCTAAAGTTGAGAGTGACAAGAGTTCCAGATGACCTGGTTATATCTAATTTATGGGCACTTAGCAGGAATAAGTGGGCTCAGTGCATAGTGCATCTGATCCTCTATTTGCAAAGACTGTGACCTTTCTGTCCTAGTGCTACTACTCAATATAGAATTAGAAGTTGAGATGAAATGGTTTTATAGGTCTCTCTTGCAATATTTAGAAGACTTATAACTTTAAAACATGATTCACCTGACTGTCTTGAGAAGGTGTGCCAAGGGCTAATAGTACAAATATTTATTCTGTTTTTTTACTTTACAAATGAAATATGCAGGACTTTCCTTAAATGTCTATTAAAGCAAACACTTTAAAACTCATAGTAAAGATGGAGGTCATCTAATTAAAATTCTTTCCAAAAAACTTCTAAGACCTAGTCTTGTTAAGAGATCTTTTAGACTCAAGCTTGTATATTTTTAGTGACAGAGCTTGCTTTATAAGATAGTCTATTCTATTCTCACAGATTTAGATTAATGGAAAATCTCTACTTATATTGAAAACATAGGCTCTGTAATACTTTATATTAATTGATCTTATTTCTGCTATATGGAACTGCAACACTGAAAGTTTGCTAGATCTTTTCACAACAACCATTCAGATGTCTGACAAATCTTGTGTTTTTAAGTTTAAACATCCTCAAATTTTGCCACATATTTTAATGTGTTATCTTACTCATCCAAAAAAATGGGCCTTATTAAATCCACCTATTTCTGCATCTAGTATTATTAATGAATATGAAGTTTGTATTATTGTTCCAGCAGCCCATTTATAGTGTTGGCATATAAACTCATCTTTCTCTCATCAGAATTACACAATTTTCACATTGATATTTGTAGCCATTTATTATATTTAGGTAAGTTTTTTTCTAATATAAATGAAGTGATTGAAATTTATTATTATGATAGTATATCATTTTTATAATACTTATCTTTACAATAAGTTATTTTGACTTATTAAAATTATTTGAACCTTGTCTTTTGTCATTAAATGTATTATATATCCTTCTGAGTTTTATGACATTCACAGATTTTATACGCATAACTTTAACGCCTTCATTTATGTTAATGATTTAAAGTGGAATGGAATAGATATTAGAACACAGAGCTATATAGCACGTCACTGGAGACCTTCCTCCATTTTTTCCAGGTACAATTATTCAGACAGGTACAAATCAATTCGACTACCTTCTTTATTGGCTGTATAAATATCTTGAGATTAAACAGGTTTTGCTTTAGGTTAGATATAGTTTCTACAACATTCTTCTCATTTAGAAATGTGGCATGTGACATTTTTAATGAACATATCCTAGCTTCTGGTAATCATTGCTGTATCTTTAAATTGGTTTTAATTCATGTATTTGATAATTTAATATCTAGGATTATAAATTTGTATTTTGTGGATTGTACATTTTTCACTTTTTTGGAAATTTAGCTTTTTGTAAATTAAATAAAATGTTTTACATTCATTAAATGTTAATATGTGCCTAACAGAATAATCTCATTTAACTTACAATCATATCAGTGTTTATTATTACCCCATTTGTAGAGACAAGCAAACTAAACACAGAGAGATTTTACACCCAGATCATACAGTTAATAGGTTATAGAACTGAGTTTGGAAGCAAAGCAGTTTGACTTGGGTAGTACATGGTCATCTGTCCTAGGCACAGTGATAGTTACTGGGTAAAGATATTTAGTTATGACCAAAACAATACCCCATGTTTTATGGAGCTTCCAGTCTACTGAAGGGAGGCAAACTAAAATAAATATATGAAATGTGTAATATGCCAAGCGGTGGATGAGAAATGAAATTAAAAAAAAAAATAGTGAAGAGTGAGGTTGAAAGGGGAGAGCAGGCTGGGAACATGGTATTTTAGATGGGGTGGTAAGAACAGTTCGTTCTGATAAAATGATATATTTAGAGGGAAAATTTTATAAGCTTGAAAAAGATTTTAAAAATTACAGAGATATATACTTTGACTCTAGAGTCAAAGAGATGTAGGTGTGCAGCCAAATTCTGCAAGCCCTTAGCTATATGAGTAGATAAGTGAGTTTCCCTTTGATGACACTATTCTCCAACTAATTTATTGTAAAAAATAATTAGGCAACTTAGCACATATTTGTGTGTAGAATGGTTATTAAATTATCATTTATAATGACAAATATTGACAACATAAAACATGTTTTACTTAGGTAAATTATGCTATAGACTTATAATGGAGTGAGCACTGTTAAATCGTATAATGTAATAGATAATTGTATATACCAAAATGTTATACTAAATCTATATTTGCAAACATGGGATGATATTCATTTTGACTCTGGTAGTACACAATCGTCTGTCCTAGGCACAGTGCTAGTTACTGGTAAAGAAATTTAGTCATGACCAAATTGTGTGTGTGTGTGTGTGTGTGTGTATAATAGGTGTATATTTGATGAAGGGAGAGATTAGCAAAATAAGCATTTAAATGTATAAAATGAGTAAGTTTCATTGGATCGTGAATTGATTCTCTTCTTTTGCTAATCGGTATTTTAATTTTTATTAGCTATCAACATGTAATATTTTAGCAAAAATAAAAATGAACACAAATGTTATACAATCCTTTCCCAAATATTTTTTTAACATTGTTTTTATAAATTCAAAATTCATATCATTGTTGCTTTAACTTTTAGAGGGCCAAAATTTGTTTTATCCTATCAAATTGCAACATTAATTTTGTTATTGTATTCATCACCAGTTTTCTAATTGAGAACATGATGCTATTTGAGACCTTATATTTTGAGACACCAAACTGAGCAATGAAATAATCATGTCTTCTCTTGTCCTTAAAATAGTGCAAAATGGATCAATTTTTGTAGATTATATTTTAAAAATATGAACAAGCATGGACAATTTTATTAACCAAACAAGTGCTTTAACAGTTTTTTTTTTTAAGATGTAATTTCTGCATTGCAGCCACCTATGAACATACACTCCATCGTGGTGCAAGTCCAATGCATCAACAAAAAAGTGGGCACTGTTATCTACCATGAAGTTCGAATTGTGGTGAGAGATAGGAATGACAACTCACCTACATTCAAGCATGAGAGCTACTATGCCACAGTGAATGAGGTCAGTTTCCATGCACTCTCCCTGTGTGTACTTTTGATTGATATATGTAACTAATTGCATACTATAAATGTTTTGAAATGAGTCTTCTATAATAATAAGTTTAACTGATTAGAAATATGAAGAAAACATTTTAAGGAATACTGCTTTAGAAGAAATAAAGTATGGTGGACTTCTGATATGACTTTAAGAATTCACTTTGCCACAGCAAAAATTTTGGTTTATTTATAATAACCCAAATATTGATATTTGTGATCATCTTGGACAATTTTATGTCTGAATCCACATGCAGTTTTACTGAGGCTCAACAGGAGTTTTTAGTCATATTGTAAGGTGATGAGCTTGTTTTCTTGATATCTGTAAAATGTTAGCAATAATTAAATACTGGAAGAAAATATTTATTTAGGCCTCTATTAATTTAAAGTTATTTCTTCAATTTTAAAATCTAGTTTTGCCACATTCAAAATATTTAAATATAAATTGTAACTTCTTGTAAGAAAATACTGATCAAATTATAAAAATTATTTTGAAAGTAATCATATTACTTTTATTACAACATGTCTTTTTTGGTCATTTATTGATTTGCTTTGTTTTGTTCTTCTGAGATAAAATCCATGAGTCAAGAATCACTTTTATGTTATTTTTAAAATAGTGTTTGCTCTACGTGTTTTGTTATTCCATTACATTAGAAAATATTACCAAGGTACCTCTATTATCACCTATTATATGTACTTAAATCTTAAAAAATGCATACCTACTTTATATGAGGAAATCCATGTAATTTGGGTATTAAACATAACACTGAGGCTTTTACCATCTAAAAACTTTTTTGAAACCAATAAAATGTATCTTATTTATTTATTTTAATTTTTCAATTGGAATTGACATTCAATATTGTTTTATATTAGTTTCAGTTATACAATATAGTGGTTAGACATTTACATAGTTTACAAAGTGATTCCCTCGATCAGTTTAGTACCCACCTAGCACTGTACATAGTTATTACAATGCTATCGACTATGTTACCTATGCCATACTTTACATCCCAGTGACTTTTTTATAACTACCAATATGTACTTTTTAATCTACATTTTTCACCCAGCCCCTGCCAACTCTCTTTCCATCTGGCAATCACCAGTTTGTTCTCTGTATGCATGAGTCTGTTTTCATTTTATTCACTTATTTTTTTCCTTAGATTCCACATATAAGTGAAATCATATGGTATTTGTCTTTCTCAGTCCGACATATTTCACTTAGCACAGTGCCCTCTAAATCATCCATGTCGTTGCAGAGAGTAAGATCTCCTTTTTTTAAATGGCTAATATCCAGTCGTATATATATACCAAAATTGCTTCATCCAATCATCTTTTAATGGGCACATAGGTTGCATTCATGTCTTGGCTACTGTAAAAAATGCTGCAGTGAACAAAAGGGTGTATGCATATTTTTCAAGGTAATGTTTTGGTTTTCTTTGAATAAATACCCAAAAGTGTAATTTCCGGGTCATGAGGTAGAAAGTTCTGTTTAATCTTTTAAAGAATCTCAAAACGGCTTTCCATAATGGCTATACCAATTTGCTATCCCACGAATAGTGTACAAAGATTCCCTTTTCTTTACATCCTCACCAAAATTTGTTTTTTGAATTCTTAATGATAGCCATTCTGACAAGTACGAAGTGATATCTCACTTTTTAATATAATTTAATTTTATTATTAGTTTCAAATATACGGTACATTGCTTAGACATTTATATAGTTTGTGAAATGATCCCCTATCTTCCCTTTGGCTCTACACATTGTCATTTTATTAGTGCCGACTGCCATGCTCCCCATCCCTATGACCATCTATCGGTCACTAATTTGTACTTCTTTAACCTTTCACCACTTTCTCCCAGACCTACCACCCCTCTCCCGTTTGGCTGTCACCAGATTGTCTTCTCTATTTGTGAGTCTGTTTTCAATTAGTTTGTTCTTTTTGTTCCTTAGATTTTGCATATAAGTGAAATCATATGGTATTTATCTTTCTCTGACTTATTTCACTCAGCATAATAACCAATAGGTCCATCCATGTTGTTGCAAATGGTAGGATTTCATTTTTTAATGGCTAAGTAATATTCTATTGTATATATGAACCATAACTTCTTTATCCAATCATCTGTTGATAGATATTTAGGTTGCTTCCATATCTTGGCTATTGTAAATAGAGCTGCCATGAACATAGGGATACATAGATCTTTACAAATTATTGTTTTGTTTTGGTTTTGGTTTTGTTTTTTTTTTGATAAATACCCAGGAGTGCACTTGCTAGGTCAAAAGGTATATCCATTTATAATCTTTTGAGAAACCTCTAGACTGTTTTCCATAGTGGCTGTAACAACTTGCAATCCCAACAGTGTATGAGAGTTCTCTTTTCTCCACATCCTTGCCAATACTTAGTCTCTTGATTTATTGATGATAGCCATTCTGACTGTGGTTTTAATTTGCATTTATCTGATAATTAGTGATGTTGAGCATCTTTTCATATGTCTATTAGCTATCTGTTGATCCTCTTTGGAGAAATGCCTTCTGGTCCTTTGCCCACTTTTTAATTGGATTGTTTATTTTTTTGGTGTTAACTTGTGTGAGTTCTTTATAAAGTCGAATGTATCATAGGCAAATACCTTCTCCCACTCAGCAGATTTTTTCATTTTGTTAACAGTTTTCTTTACTGTACAAAGAAAATGTATATGTAGTCCTATTTGTTTCTTTTTTCTTTTGTTTCCCTTGTCTAAGGAAATACATCAGAAAAAAAAAAATTATTACTAAGAGCAAGATGAGAGAGTTTGCTGCCTATGTTTTCTTCTAGATGTTTTATGGTTTTGAGTCTTACATTTAAGTTTTTAATCCATTTCGAGTTTATTCTTGTATGTGGTGCAAGAAGGTAGTCTAGTTTCATTGTTTTGCATGTATCTGTCCAGTTTTCCTAGCACCATTTATTTAATAGACTGTCTTTACTCCATTGTATATTCTTGCCTCCTTTGTCATAGATTAATGACCATAAAGGCATGGATTTGTTTCTGGGCTCTCTTTTCTGTTCTATTGATCTATATCTCTTTTTATGCCAGTACCATGCTGTTTTGATTACTATAGTTTACAGTACAGTTTGCTATCAGGTAGAGTAATTACCTCCAACGTTATTCTTCTTTCTCAAGATTAGGAGTCATTTATGGTTCCATATAAATTTTAGGATTATTTGTTTAGTTCAGTGCAAAATGCCTTTAGCATTTTGACAGGGAATGCATTAAACCTATAGATTGCTTTGGGTAGTATGGACATTTTAACAATGTTAATTGTTCCTGTCCATGAGAACAGTGTATGGTTCCATTAATTTGTGTCTTCTTCAGTTTCTTCAATGATTTACAATTTTCTGAGTACAGGTCTTTTACCTCCTTGGTTAAATTTATTCCTAGGTATTTTTCTTTTTGTGTGCATGCAATTGTGAATGGATGTTTTCTTAATTTCTCTTTCTGATAGTTCATTGTTGGCGTGTAAAAATGTGGCTTATTTCTGAATATCGATTTTATATCCTGCTACCTTACTGAATTCATTTATCATTTCTAACAATTTGTTGTGTGTGTGTGTGTGTGTGTGTGGAATTTAGGGTTCTTTATATATAGTCATGCCATCAGCAAATAACGACAGTTTTACTTCTTCCTTTCAAATTTGAATGCTTTTATTTCTTTTTCTTGTCTGTTTGCTATGTTTAGGACTTTCACTACTATGTTGAATAAGAGTGAGAAAGTGGACATTTTTATCTTGTTCCTGATCTTAAGGAAAACACTTAGCTTTTCTTCATTGAGTATGATGTTGTGGGTTTGTCACATGTGTCTTTTCTTATGTTGAAGTATGTTCCTTCCCTCCATTCCCTCTTTTCTGAGAGTTTTTATCATTCAATAGATGCAGGATTTTGTGAAATCCTTTTTCTGCATCTGTTAATATAATCATATAATTTTTACTTTTTAATTTGTTAATGCGGCCTATCAAATTAATTGATTTACAGATATTGAAACAATCATGCATCCCAGTAATAAATCCCACTTGATCATGGTATATGATCTTTTTATTCTATTGCAAAGATTGTAAGTTTCTAGTAATGTATTCTTTTCTTCTAGAGTGTTCAATTTGTTGGCATATAATTGTTCGTAGTACTTTTTTATAATTCTTTGTATTTCTGTGGAGACATTTGTCACTTCTATTTCATTTCTGATTTTATTTATTTGAGTCCTCTCTCTTTTTTTCTTGATGAGTCTGGTTAAAGTTTTATCAATTTTATTTATCTTTACAAAGAACCAGGTTTTGGATTCATTGAGTTTTTTTGTATTGTTTTTAGACTCTATTTTGTTTATTTCTGCTCTGATTTTTATTATTTCCTTCATTCTATTTACTTTGGACTTTGTTTTTCTTTTTGTAGATCTTTTAGGTATAAGGTTAAATTGTTTGAGATTTTTTTTGTTTGTTTCTTGAGGTAAGCATGTATCGCTGTGAATTTCCCTCCTAGGACTACTTTCACTGTATCCCATTGATTTGGGGCATTGTGTTTTCATTTTCATTTGTCTCAAGGTATTTTTTGAATTTTCCCCTTTATTTCATTGTTAACCCATTCATTATTTAGTAACGTGTCATTTAGCCTCCATATGTTTGTATATTTTTCAGTTTTTTTTCTTGTAATTGATTTCTAGTTTTATTCCATGTGGTTGGTGAAGATACTTGATATGGTTTCAATCTTCTTAAATATATTTAGACTTGTTTTGTGGCCTAACATGTGGTCTATCTTGGTAAATGTTCCATGTGAACTTGAGAAGCATGTGTATTCTGCTGCTTTGGAGTAAAACACTCTAAAAAAAATCAGTGAAATCCATCTGGTCTAGTGTATCATTTAAGGCTGCTGTTTCTTTGTTGATTTATCTTCTGGAAGATCTGTTCACTGGAGTCAGTAGGGTGTTAAAGTCCCCTGCTATGACTGTAT